TTAAGTTATTATTGATTTGAATCTTTATACCACGCAAATTTCGAGAAACTGGTCTGACTTAGGTTTTTATTCATCCATGTGGAGTTTATTATCCAAATCGATGACACGAACTTTCATTTCATTTTATAAAACAATGTGGCGAATAGGTTTCCTTTAAGAGGGCATTCCTCTGACCAGCCCCAGTTGAATTTCTCCCCGCACTTTGGTTTCATTTTATTGAAGTTGGAAGCTCATTGACTCCAGACATTTTTCCTGCGTTGTTTGGTCAGAATTAACTGAGTCGTTTTGAGTTAAAACCGCGTAAGCTCTTGCCCCGTGCGAAACGCCAAGAAGGCGTAGGACCTCGGGCGTTGAGCCACCCTCAAATGAGACGATCACACTGTTTCCGTTCTTCTGTTCCCTCGATTTATGGAAAATCTTCTGAACCCTCCACAGTAACCATCAGAAAGCGGGGTGGGAATCTTCGGTTTCACGCAGAGACTACTCTCTCGTGGGCACTGAAAGTTTCATCATACGAGGTGCGATCGGAAAGTTTCAAGACTGTGTCAATAGAGGGCGAACCGGATGTAGTACGAGCTTCTGCCGCTAGGGGGTGCGGCCTACATTCATAGTGAATCAGTGTGCCAGCCGGCATCATCGAATTAGCATTTGTTTCTTAGTTACGGGCGTTTTGGTAGTGCATTACACCGACCCTCCTGCGATTTCGGAATGGCGTGTGCATCAAATTTTGCCAAAGACTCGCCAAAACGGCTACGGAAACCTATGAAATGCTAAAGCAAGCATTTGGGGAGTCCGCAATGGGTCGTGCACAAACTTTTGTGTGGCATTCACGTTTTAAAAATGGCCGAACCTCTGTCGATGATGACGAGCGTTCTGGACGACCATCTTCGAGCACAACGCCCGAAAATGTTAGGAAGATTCGGCAGGCCATTCACGAAGATCGACCATCGTCGTACCATCAACGACTTGTGCGCCATTGTTGGGATAGGCTATGGGACCTGTCCGCTGATTCTAAAGGAAGAACTCCACATGCGACGCATCATGACAACGCGCCCGCGCACACCGCCCTCAAAGTTCGGCAGTTTTTGGCCTCAAACACCATGGCCTTCATCCCGCACCCTCCTTATTCGCTGTGTGACTTCTTCCTCTTCCCAAAGATGAAAATTCAGCTGAAGGGAAGGAGATTTGAGACGATAGAAGAGATTCAGGCAGAATCGCAGATGGTGCTTGACAGGCTGACAAAGAAAGATTTCCAGGGATGCTTCCAGGCTTGGCAGAGGCGCTGGGATCGTTGTGTTCACTCCCAGGGGAACTACTTCGAGGGTGATGGATGAATTTAATACCTGAGATAAGTGTACGGGTTTTTTATAGGCGCAGTCTTGAAACTTTCCGATCGTACCTCGTAAAACAATTTGCACACGACATTAGTGACGTTTCGTAACACGGCTTAAGTCAACGCCAAGTTTCACGTCATCCTACGTTGGTATGGACAGAAATGTCTCATCAGTTGTTACTCCTTCGCTCTCTGAGGGACGTTACTCGGCGATCGGCTTTTTTTGAGTTCTTATTCAGGCACTCTAGGACTGAAATTAAATTAGGCAACGACCGCCTTCTTCCACATCAGTTCCAATCAACTGTTCGTTCATTAATCATCGTATGATTCAACGTTGATAAACAGCGTAGTTGAACAAATCGCATGAGAAACAAACTACTCCATGCATTCTCTTAATCGCGGTACTGGAAGGAGGTTAGCGGTCGGTCACCTCCCCCCATAGTCCGCCTGGACGACGGACCTAGAGGAAAATCCTCTACCCCTCTCCGGGGTTCGAATGTCGGTCTTTCAGTACGCAAAAAGTGACAGGCGATACAGCACACTCGTAAGATGGCAAATGCACGTGTGCGTAAAATGAACGCATAATGGTAAAGTCACGTCCGTAATTCGTCTCCAAAATAACTAATCAAATTCCAATGACGTTTCGGTTTCGCTGTGACGTTTTTTAGATGTGAATATTGTAGTACGAAGAAAATACAGTCAAGGGGAACTTCAAGAAGACGAATTGTACCGGAAGAGAGTTTGTCACTTCGAAATTCACCCCCTCACGTGCTCGACCCTCTTTGTTCTAGCAGTCTTCAGCAGTCGGAGACTGTGAGGATTCAAGGGTTTTATTTTGGAGCTGGGGAAAGACTTAACACAGAAATATCTGCCTCCACTGAGTGTGCGTTCTTTGCACACAGTTCACATAATTAACTTAAAATGGGAAGGTCCAACGTTGCCCTTCGAAACCCCGACAGATTTCGTGTCAATCTGGCACTGTTTGGGGAGGGGGGGTTCGAATATTGTGACCTCTACTTTATATTGAAGTCTCATCGAACATGACAGAAATGTATTATACTCCTTAAATTTGTACTAAAATTTCAGTTTGTCGATGGGTTCACTTAAATTACTTAAATGGCCGAGGATATGCTTAAGAAAACATTGGCTCGATTAGTCGTTTCAAAACGTGTCCCGGTTGCACAAGATTCGTGGGTTGGATGAACAAGCCAACGGTGTAGTTAGTTGCTGTATGAGGTCTCTTGCCTCAGGCGTCCGGGAGAACCAATTTGACCGGAGGCTGGCTCGCTGGAATGTACACACGCGCTGCAGTGATGTCGGGACCGTGCATTCGTTGGGCGCTTCATTAAATATTCAAATACATCCGATTCGAACGTTAGATTCACAACTGAGACCATGTTTGCGGGGTTTCAGTGCACTGGAAGTAATCTCAAACGCGATTACATGTTACAGACGTTTGTTTGTAATGAATAAGATGTACGACCACCCGCGAATTATGTCGGGTTAATGATCATTTGCGGAATCTACGGCTGCCGGGCATGTTTACACTATTTACAATATAGTAATTCGTGGTGACTGAATTCAGCGAAGTGTTCACGGGAAATCAGCCATGAGAAACTGACGTTTCGATATCCGTCTCGGTCCTCATCAACGAGGAGCTGACACATCTGTGGAGCCCGTTTGTACGAAATTCGATTCTGAAACATAAGTTGTATGGAGGCTGTAGTTAGTGGTTTAGAACTTGTAAGTTCTCCCGCACAACTTGAGTTTCTAACTTCCCTAGAATAGTCTGAGTTCAGAACTGAAGCCCCGTGCCACGGGACGTTCCCTCGAAGACCTGAGTACAAGGCATTTTCCTTGGAACACCTTTTTCGCCGTTCGAGACATTTTAATG